GCTGGGATTACAGGCACGTGCCACCATGCCCAGCTAATTCTTTGTATTTTTAGTAGAGACGGGGTTTCACCATTTTGACCAGGATGGTCTCGATCTCTTGACCTCATGATCCACCCGCCTCGGCCTCCCAAAGTGCTGGGATTACAGGCGTGAGCCACCGCACCCGGCCAAGACAATATTTTATTTGAAAATAATTTCAAAGGTGCAAAAAAGCTGCAACAATAAAACAAAAAAACAGATAAAGAGTATCTGTATATGTCCTTCCCCCATTATTAACATTTTGGGCCATTTGTTTTATCTTTGTGGGCACTCATGCTCTATGTGTAGGTGTATGGGTGTTTATATACACACATATACATACAAACATATATATATTTTTCTGAACATTTGAGGGTAAGTTATATACATCATGGTCCTTTACCCCTAAGTTAGTCAGGGTATATTTCCTAAGTCTAGAGAGATTCTCTCACATAACCATAGTATGATTATCAATTACGATTTACTTCAATAAATTTAACCCAACAATATCCTTTGTGGTATGTTTTTTCCTACAGTACAGAATCCAATCTAGGGTGAAGTATTGCAATTACTTGTCATAGCTCTTTAGCTTCTTTTAATCTAGAACATTTCCATGCCCTTTGTTGGACATTTTTAAAGAATAATGCTCCCTCCCTACTTGTGTCCTCAATAGAACATTCTTCATTTGGGATTTGTCTGGTATTGCCTTGTGATTCAATTCAGGTTATGTTCTTGATTGAAATACTACACCCAGTGTCCATCTACTCCTCCTTGCTGATGTTGATTCTGGTCACCTGGTCAAGTTTTTGTTCCATTTCTCCACTCTATTATTACTTTTTAAAAATCCGAGGTGGGTGGATCACGAGGTCAAGAGATCTAGACCATCCTGGTCAACATGATGAAACCCCATCTCTACTAAAACTACAAAAAAATTAGCTGGGCATGGTGGCGTGTGCCTGTAATCCCAGCTACTCAGGAGGCTGAGGCAGGAGAATAGCCTGAACCCAGGAGGCGGAGGTTGCGGTGAGTCGAGTTCGTGCCATTGCACTCCAGCCTGGGTAACAAGAGCGAAACTCCGTCTCAAAAA